TTTGTGGGTTTTGGTAAATTTGATATTTTAGGCATGTAAGTAGTCCTATTGATGTCATAGTTAGTGTTCACAGGGTTGTTCCTATTAATCTTAAAAACATTTGTAGAAAGCTGTAACTGTCACACATTTAGATGAGACCCCACTGTGTTTATTTAAATGTACAAATTTGGATAATTAGATTCCCCCCCCCCATTTTGTTTACAATATCAGACCAACTATGTAAATATCTAGCTTTTTTAAATTTCTGCTTAGACCTTTTGCCCACATCCTCTTTTGTTCCTCAGTAAACAACCAGACTTTCTTCAGACAATAAAATATTTGATTCTTAGACACAAGACACCCAGTTCCTCTGTGCCATAGTCTGACTGTCTCTGTGCTAGTTGCAACTTCCACTTTGCTTGGAGTCAAGCAGGTCACTTCTTGTCCAGCGCTAATGACCTGAATCTGAATTGTGACCTGAGTCACAAGTTGGTAAGTAAGGCACCATTAGGCTTGGATGATATTATATTTTGATAGTTCTGTTTAGGGCGACCAGACAGCAAATGTGAAAAATAGGGATGGGGATAGGGGGGTAATAGGAGCCTATATAAGAAAAAGACCCAAAAATCGGGACATCTGGTCACCCTAGTTCTGTTTGTGAAATTTTCCCTCATGAACTAGGTTAATCTTGAGTCAGTCAGCTGCCTTATCCACTAACTGCCCTTCCCCCAACTATTTGTTCAGAAAAAGCTGTATGTTGTAATGTCTTGAGTGTCATAACAGTATGTGTATTAACTGCTGTTAAAGAGCAGTAAAAATGCTTTAAAAACTAAACTATAAAACTGATACCATTTGCATCAGAGTTCAAACGTCCCCTATTAAGCCTGTTCAGTCTAGTTCCTGTATGTATGAAAAGATTTCCAAATACCTTCAGCATTGCCTCTCTACTTCAAAATCTGATCTCCCTGAACTGTTATGTCCATTTCAGTTACTTTAAAATCACTTCTGATCAGAGTGGGTGGCCTGGATTAGTGGTGTCTCTGGAATTACAGGTGGCATCACTGCAGTTGAAGGGTCCATCATGAGTTCCTACCCTTCTCTAGATTGTGTTACTGTAAAAGGTAAGGAGGTCAGTATTATAACATCCATATTAGCTTCCTTCAACATCATTTTTTGTAGTTTAATGCCATCAGCCATAATGGTTGCTATATTATATGGAGGGAGGTCACTCTCTCGCGAATCAAGGATTGACATGAGACTGACCAGAAGGACAGGCCCAGCAAGAGGACCTGAAGTACTTGCAGACTTGACAAGGTCTTCCTATGGAAGATGGCTGGGTGACACCTGGCAAGTTACACTCACATGCAAGCTAGACTTGCATATTGTTCTTAAGATGTTTTCTCTAGTGCTTTTGTTGTGAATAAATAATACTTTGCTTTATGAATGCTGGCTGGTCACTGGTTAACCCTCTCACTGCCCCTGACACAACAGAACTGGTGCTGAACTAAAGTCAGAGTAGCTAAGGTGATCACAGTGAATTGCAGGAGGAATTGCAGCTAAATCCTTTGTTTTGGGTGGGAGAGTCACCAGACTGCTAGAAGCCTGAGATTTAAATGGGGTGCCCTCCAGGAAGCCACAAAGAGGTTAAAGATGTAGTTTTCTTGGGCACTGCAACAATGAGTAACTTTTACTTTCTGAAGTCGTTACTTTTATTCTAGTTGTTTTTCTGCGGCATGCTACTACAGTGTTGAACTTCATTTTAATCCAGCAGTCTTTGGTTAAATTTTTAAAATAACATTTATATGAATTATTTTTTAAACCCACTCTTTCTACTTAAATTTTGGGTCTAAATTGTCCAGCATGATGTGTAGCAAATGTATTATGAATTCTGACCAAAGAAAATACTAAAATTCTTCAGTTGCATTTTGCACTGAATTTATTTTTTAAAGGAATAAGTCTCCTCACTGCACTGAGGAGGAACTGGACTTCAATTGTTGTGGTTTCAAAAGTGTTCTTGATTTTAAAACTTTATTTTTACATCCATAGCTGTCTAGGTAATGAAAGAAAAATAACTATGTAGGACCTACAGAAGTTTATGCTGCTCTGTTTCAGAGCCAGCAAGATGTAGCCCAAGTTAACAGACTTTCTGTTTTAGGAGTTTGGTATCAATTGTTCACAAAAGCAGCAAGTAAAAGTCCTGTTAATTTCAAACTCCATTAGAAACAGGGTTGGGGTGAGTGAGTGAGAGACTTCTGTCAAATGAGCAAAGTTAATATGGTAAACAATTTACATCTTTTAGAAAGGTATTTAAGTGAAGAGTTGAAAAATGATGGCCCTTTAAATAACTATAAAATGCATTACAAAAACTACAAGGAGAAAACCTACTCTCTCGCTGCTATTTAAAGATCAAGATTTGTTTCATGCCATTCATTTTTATGTGAGTCTTGTGTTGGGCAGTGGCTTGGTACGAACAGCTAGATGTTCTTATAATGTAACAGAATTTACTGTTTTATTGATCAAAATCAACTTTGCAAATCAGTTAATGGAGAGACTGAAGCCTCTTTATAAAATAAAGAGTAGTTATGAACAATCGACTGTCAATAGGCTTGTTGATTGACTAATCCAAATAATGAGCTGGCAGGCACCGAATGAAAACTCTGACAATTATTGCTCTTGCTGCTGGTGGAAATCTGACAGCAGTCTGTTTTAAAGTATACCCCTTGCCTTCCCTGAGTGGGCTTCCCCATTCTTCCAAAACAAGTCCCTGGGATCCCTGCCAGTTTCCCCCTATATTCTAACTCACCTGCTACCACATATGGACTACTCTTCATCTGAGGACTGGAAGGGATTTCCTTCGGAGTCATCAATACTGCTCCTCAAATTAGCTGGCATATTTTGGTATAGAAGAATGCTAGTCTCATAGACTCACACCAGTTAAAGCGGAAAAAGGACTGATGCCATCATTCTTCTAGCTTGGAGCAGGGATCAGAATCTGGCCTCAACTGTGAAACAGGTATTGGTTTGCCCCTGAGCCAGCCAGTTAATACATTTTTTTTTTTACTTGGTGTTTTATGGACAGTCTTCTATTGCACAAGAACCGGTGTGTCACTTTTGGTAATAAGGACACATCTTTAAGATCCTTTGCCTCTTGAAAGACTGCAAAATCTCTCAACTCGCCTGGCAAGTTTTAATAAGTGCACAAAGTGCAAATAAGTTCTCACTTGTACAGTGTAACAGTTGTCCACAAAAACAGGGAGGACAATGCTCCGTCCTGCTCAGGGCAAGCTGAACTTTCCAGCTCTTCTCATTTTTAAAACTTTTGGGTGTGTTTTTGTTCATGTTCTTACCTTTATATTTTTATACTGTGTACAAACATCTTAAGATTGTGTTCATCCTTTTTGTCCATTTTGCTGAATATTTTTTCCAGACTGTGAAAATAAAGCAGACAAGGCATCTGGGAGAATAGTGGAAGGAATACTTGTAATGAGGTAGTTGGACTGTATGAAGTTAGCATGACAGTTGGGAGAGCAAAGACATATTCCTTTCAATCCTATATTTCCTCTTCACTGACTTCCTATGTTGTGGCAAACATCTTTCTATTAAGGATGGATGGACTAGGCTCTCTTTCGGAGTCAGTAAATAATGTTCCTTAATTGACCGAGGGTGGCTTGCTGTTTAAATTATGGAAGGCTCAGTTGTGAACATCCTAAAATTTGGTATTTGTCTTGTTATTTTTGGTTAAAAATGCTCAGATCCAGAGTGTCTCGTGTACTAGTGCAGTACGCAGCCCAAGCCCAACAAAGACCCTTTTAGATACGAGACAGGAATGGAAAGAAGTTGTTGAATCGCTCTGACATTGCATAGCACTGCTGTTTACCGTTGTCCATGAATACATGATTCCCATTACCAGAAATCTTGTCGTCTTATACTCTTTTTTAATAAAAAGGAAGAAAAACTTCTGGCACTCTTTTAACAGAGCTTATGAGTTAACTGTGGGTCCTTGAAGAATCGATTTTTAAAAACAAAACAAAAAAACCCCCAGAGGATTGAACCAGCCAAATTCAATCCTATAAATATCTCTGCCCACAGACAGCCCCCCCCCTTGGAATTTAAAAAAGAGAGAGAAGACTTTTTGCCCAGCATAAACATGGGGCTGGACAGTTTCCATTCATTGTTTTTTATTTTAAGTATCATATTAAATCAAGGTATTGTCAAGGACTAACTGCCAGTTAAATTAAATTATGGCATTGTCTGTGAGCACAACAGTTGAAAGAAATGGTAGAAAGCTGTCAGCTACGGTAAATCTTTTCTTAGGCTGTTTTTCATTATAGTGTTACAGTAATAATATCTAGTGAGTTGAAAGGTGGTTTCTATCCTAAACTCAATCTTCAGTCAGTAATAACTTCAGCTAAAATATTCCTTTTGTGCTGAAAACTCCATGCTCGGTCTCAGTTTATGGACTAATTATGTGAGTCATAATGACTTGAGAGACCAGGTGCTGGAGCAGCTCAAGAATGAGGAACGATTTGTATTACAAGAACATATCTGCGCAATCAGGATCAGGGCCCCACTGTGCTAGATGCTGGGCACACAGACAGGTAGACTCAGTCCTTCCCTCAAAGAGCTTGCGATCTAATTAGTATCTCCCTTACTGGCAAAGCTTGAGGGCCTGATTCCCACTTCCATCAATGAGGTTATGTTTTTGTCCCTCTCTTCTCCCCCCTCCAGTGAGTATTGGACTGGGCCTTGAAAGAGAGTGTCCTGGTGTAAATAAGTGGCCTCCTACCAGGCATCCCCTCAGGACAGCCTTGCAAGTGGCCCTTCACCTCAATTGCCCTCTTGGGTAACCCAAAGGACTCCACTTCAGGCTCTTAATTAAACTGGCCCCCAGGAGAGGCATTGTTTATTATGAAAGCCTTGTGCAAATAGTTTGTAACAAAAATCCCAAAACATAGTCCATATCTATCACCTCAGTACATTCAGTTCTTGTTCTCACCATACCTCATTGTCTTCTGTCACAGGCTCCTTATCGATCTTCCTCCATCCCTCTTCCAGGACAGTCATCCCAGCCCTTCCTTCTTGGTTGCCACTCTGATCTTCCTAGAGGGAACTCCCATAACCTCTCCGCTGGGAGCATCCTTGCCAGAGGAGCATCCTCATTCCTACAGTCCTCTCACTGTTCTTCAGCATCCAGCTCTCCAGCAAAGAGACATCATCTGGTAAGCTCCTCCACTACTCCCCTTTCCTTCAACTCTCTCTGGCGCTTGACTCTGGCTTAGAGCCAGCAGGCATCTCCCTCTGCTCATTCTCCAGCCCTGGATCACTGGCTTGGAGATGCCAGCCAGCAAACCTCTTTCTGCTCTCCTGCCTTCAGCCTTCTCCTAGGAACCACCTTCTGTCTCCGGCAGTTCTCCTCTCCTGCCCTTCTCCTGACTGAACACTTATAGCCTCCCAGGTGCTGCTCTGCCCTCTTAATTGACCCAGCTGGGAGCACCTGGACTGGAACAGGCACTCTGAGCCCAGTTTCATTTAATGAGCCAGCTACCCTGTTATACATGGCTAGAACTGACAGGTAATGAAGAATCTTTTAAGCTTAATAGTTACCACTAAATTCCAAGGTTCAAACAATTCTTATTCCACCCAATATAGGGCAGTAGTTAACGACATAGGTATCCCTTTCAACTGTAATGAACTGGCTACTATGGGATATCATCAGTCTGCAATCTTATGTATCTTCTCTTGACATGTTTGTTTTCTTAAATTAAAAAATAAAATTGCTGTTCCTAGAAGTGCTGGAGTCCTATGATGTTTCAAATCTCTACCTTTTAAAAGAAGATCCTCTATACATGCATTCTGTTTAACACCTGAGTACTGGGTCAGTTGCCCTATTTTTACATCTTATTTTCCCTTACACTGAAGATTTTTTCATTATCACTATATGTGACCCATTTCTGCATTGATTTTTGAGGTGGAGAATCTACTGCATGACTTACTACTTTCTTCCACAGTGCCAGCTGGACAGCAATTTAGGCCTGGTTTACACTGGGGGAGATCGATCTAAGATACGCAACTTCAGCTACGAGAATAGCATAGCTGAAGTCGACATATCTTAGATTGACTTACTTCCCGTCCTCACAGCGTGGGATCGACGGCCATGGCTCCCCCGTCGACTTCGCTTCTGCCTCTCGCCCTGGTGGAGTTCCGGAGTCGATGGGGAGCGCGTTCGGGGATCGATTTATCGTGTCTAGACGAGACATGATAAATCGATCCCCGATAGCTCGATCGCTACCCGCCAATCCGGCGGGTAGTGTGGACGTACCCTTAGTCGCTAGTTTATGGTATCCCATCTTAACAGAGAAAATATATTCCATATAGCTAAAATATCTCAGTCTTTATCTAATAGAGCCTTAAAAATCAGCACTTTATCAAGTCACTGCTTGAAAGAGTAATTACTTTATGTATAGGAGCAGAGATTAAAATACTATTCCCCCCCAGCCTTTCTTTCTGTCTTTCTTTCTTTCCCTCCCCTCACAGTTCTGTCCATTGTGTTGGTTCTATTTCAGATTAAATAATCTGCAGCAGCAGAGGAGTCCTTTGTAGAATATTGGTGACTGGAAGGCTGAATTTGTTGTGCCATTATAGTGACAGCAGGTCAGTTATAATGCTGGACTATGGCTTTGGAGAAGCCAGCAGCTTGTGTCAGGTTGCTAATTTAAATCTATATAAATGGTGTGCTCGTAGCTCTGCTTTTGATGGTAAAAGTGAAATCGTGTGAATTGTGGAAAAATCTTGCTTCTGTTGAAATTTAAAACATGGGAGAGCTTAGCAATGTGCTATAAAAGAAAAGACTGAATTAAAATCAGTATGTGTATCAGGAAATGAAAGAATAATTATTTCTTCAACCATATTCTTGAATTTATAAAATCTTTACATTTAATTTTTAGTACAACTCACTTCAGTCACTGCACACCAGGGCAAAATAAATTAATCACTCAGAATGGTTACCGAGTTTAGGTTTTTATTTCATTCATCCCCATCTCTGTACTCTGAAAACGTTCACACAGGGGAAGCTGTCCATAGCAGTGGAACAGGCTAAAGCATGCTCAGTGAATAGGGTTCTAATAATTGTTTGTTTCAGCTGTGACAAAAAATAAGGTCATGGTGCAATTTTATTACCAGACAAGTTTCCATTGGGGCAATGTAGAAAATATTTGAAAGCCCTTGTGAGTATCTGATCTGTAAAGAACATTTGTCATGCCTCTAAACGTGGTCAGAATTTTAAAAGTTACTGGAAATACTGGAAACAGTGTTCATCAAAATGTACTTCTGTTCCCACTCCATTAAATATATACTCTGTTGCCACTGATATTTCCCCCCTCTACTACATGGCATCTTTTCCCCCCCAGTTTTTAATGGGTAAAAGGTAGCTCTACAGAAAAGATAGCGCTTTTAGTTTCTCGTCAGACACTTTTGATTACACTTTTCCCAGCTGCTTCTGCAGTATACATGAGTGTGCTTCTCTAAGTTTGCTTTTGAAAAAAAAAAACCCTGACAAGAATGTCTTGCCAGATTTGTTGGTGCAGACCAAAGAGCATCACTGTTGCACTGTACTGGCAACGAGTAGAAAATTCTGAGATAAAACCTTGGTCTTCCCTGCTTTGGCAGGAAAGTTAGTGCTCTAGGTACTGCTCCTAGAATATATCAATATTCTCCTGTCACTTGTTTCTTTGCCAAAGTTCTGAATTGAATTCCTATTTAAGCAACACTTGAAGTGACAATAGTGAGGAATTTTTCAGACAAACCATCCATTAAGACAAACATGCCATTGAAATCCTGTTGATTTCAATATGCAATGCTGTTAATGGTAACTGCAGGAACTTTAAACTCCAGAATGGATGTAAGGGCTGGTCCACACTACCCGCCTAATTCGGCGGGTGGAGATCGATCTTCTGGGATCGATTTATCGCGTCTCATCTGGACGTGATAGATTGATCCCAGAAGCGCTCCCCCGTCGACTGCGGAACTCCTGCTCGCCGAGAGGAGGAAGCGCTGTCGACGGGGGAGCCTGCCTGTGCCGCGTGGACCCGAAGTAAGTACTTTTACTTTGATATAGGAAACGTCGACTTCAGCTACGCTATTCTCATAGCTGAAGTTGCGTTACCTATATCGATCCCCCGCCCCAGTGTGGACCAGCCCTAAGGTTATGCTTCTGGAAAGTGCAATGTAATTTCCTTTATTGCATTTATTTTGTTCACAGGTTGTTGCAGTATGACCTTCTACTAACCCTTTCGGAAGAAGCAAGACTTCACCAGCCGTTACCCATGTGCATACTTTTCTTCAAGTTTGATCCTCGTCCAGTTTCAAAAAATGCATACAGGTAATCATAATTGTGGTTAAAGCAAAAATGCTTCTCTTTACAACCTTAGTTTGATACTTTAACCCTGGGCAATAATGCCTAGTCTCAAATCAGAGTCATGTGCTTCAAATTGTGCTGGTATAATGCCAACACTCCATGATGTTGTTTACATCTCTCTTAAGTAGAAAAAGTCAGTCTGCTCTGAGCTGCTTTCAGTGCAGTTTCCATAGCCAATAGTATGCAAGAGAGTGATGTAGCTATGCCACAGTTGACTCCCTAACCCAGTGGATCCAGGTACCCATTTGCAGCTGGGTCATGAAGCAAGGAGGTGATGAAGCAAGACTTCAACCAACAACTTCTAGGATTTTAACTGAGCACCTGAACCATTCTGCCACCATGCCTACTAGCGTATTACTATTATTTTATTTATGCGTAATGTATTGGTTCCACTTGACCCCAACTGTTGCATATCGTTCCTAGAAGCACAAGAACATATATGGATCTGTTTACTATCTGTGGAGTCAAATATTGGACAAATAATTTTAGACTTGTATTAATGTATGTCTCTGCCCTTTTTATTTTGAAAAGAAAATTATTATAGCTCTGTTGGTACAAAGGAATTGAGAACTAAAAACGTAATTATCCATCCGGTGCTCTGTCTGCATCTTGCGTACATCTGAATTTTTAAAAGTAAATAGGATTGTCAGGAATCCCAGGACTTGTATTGAATTAATATGTCCAATCCATTTCGGCTGTTTTCTCTATCCATGTTGATAGCAAAAGGCAGATGTGTCAATTTGATGATGCCTCCAGGGCAATCCCCCAGGCCTATGTTGTAATCATACTTATTTGGAATGTTATATGACAAGCGAACTTTATTCCACAATCTATATTTATTTATTTGCTTGCTATGAGTTACACCAAGTTTGGAACTATTGATTGCTGGCAGGAAAATAACTGGCTTTCAGTGTCAAAATAGGAAAGAACTTTTGATCCATTATGGCCCAAATTCTGCTGAGTTACCTAATTTTACTGAAATCTTTTTCTCTTGGATTGCTCAAACCAGTCAGCCGGAGTACTCAGTATAATGTAGGGATTTCCAATATGTTTAATTTTTATATAAATGTGCAGTAAATAATTTTAGGCTCAAAATATACAAGATCTTGGTGTGATGCTACACCTCATATTCTTCATAGAAATATTATGATATGAATATGGCATAACTAAGATACCTTACATGACCCATCTTGCATAAAGTATATCATTTGAAAGGTTATGATTTGCTGAATGTGATTATCCAATTTGTATACATGCATCATTTCTGTATCTGAAGTTAGGAATATTGACTATGTAACAATTACAACTGTGTGAGTACTTGGGGGAATGCCCACCAGACAGTAGGCAATCAGCCTGGATGAGCCATTTAAGGACAATAGAACTTTGAAGATACTAATCTCCCATCTTCCTGAGATGTTGCTTTGACACTGCAGGGTCATCTGATGATGTCACCAAAGTACCATTTTGGATACTGCTGATATTTTTCCACTGGAAAAAAGGATTTTTGCCTTATGTAAATCCTACTTAAGGCTGGGAAGTGAGTCAATCAGGGCTCTTCTCCACTGCTTCACGGCCCAAGGAGGAAGACTGCTGAAAGCACCTGAAGAGACAAAGAAACTAAGCTGGGGAAAGGCAAGGGCTGAGTCCAGGCTGAGACAGGGGTCTAGTCTGTAAAGAGAAATAACTGGCACTCTAAGCTGCAGAAATTCTGTTACCTGCCAAAAACAACATTTAGGATGAAAAATTACATTTTGTACCTGTTTCTTTCGTGAATTAAGCTAAGGTTGTGTGTGGTTTTTATTTGCTCAGTAATCTGCTTTGTTCTGTTTGCTATCACTTAAAATTTACCTTTTGTAGTAAATAAATTTGTTTGTTTTAAAACTCAGTTTGTGCAATTCATATCTTGGGGCGGGGGGGGGGGAAGCTGTGCGTATCTCCCTCCACATTGAGGGAGGGGGCAATTTTTATGAGCTTACGCTGTACAGACCTCTCTATACAGAACAAGACAGTATAATTTTGGGTTTACACCCCAAAGGAGGTGTGCACGTGAGTGCTGGGTAAAGTCCTGAACTGAATCCTCCCACACAGAGCTGATCGTAGTCTGTCTGCAGCTGGGTGTGGCCTTACCTGTATTTGTGCTAGAGAAGGCTTGAGGGCCTGGCATAGCAAGGACAGGGTGAGGAAGCCCAGGCTGGTGGAACGGCGGGCTCAGTGGAACCCCAGCACATCAGGTGGCATCCTGGACAGAGGGTCCAACCTGTCACGCTTGGCTCAGTCTTTTTATTTTTTTTTACACAAAATGTACTTTTAATCCATTTAATTTTGTTTAGTGAGAAAAGGATGGAAGACATACTTTTTTTTTGTCACCAATCTTTAATGTTCATTGGCACCTTTTAAATAAAAATGCTATGCAAAATTTTGATTTTAAATCTTGATCAACAATAATACTCAGCTCTCCTGGTATTTTTTATCCCTAGAGCTCAGTTTTACAAAGAATAGCAAGTGTCATTATCCCCATTTTACAGGGACAAGTCACTTCATCTCATTCCTTGGTTTCCTCTAGGTCATACCCTGTAAGTGTCAAAACTGGGAATAATAGATCTCCTGATTCTCTAGACATTGCCCTAGTCGCTAGGCCCAGGTTGCCTCCATAGCACCCTTTTTGGAAGGGTCATATGCTTAAATTTCTTATGTTAAAGTGATAGTGTTGGATACATTAAAATGCTTAACTTGTTTTGCATTTCCACACTCTAATACTTTTTAAAAAGCTTGAATCAAAATACTCCCTGCCAGTCTTGTTCTCTTTCCTGTGTTCTGAATAGAGAGAAAATGCACTTTTCATAATTCCTTTCAGTGCCCGAACACTTTTCTGTGCATTAACATAATAGCAGTAATTAATTGTACCGCCAGAAGGGGAGCACAAAATATTTTTTGTGGTTCACAACTTTTTTAGTTTCAAAGAGATAGGATTGTTAGCTACTAGGGCTGTCAATTAATCACAGTTAACTCACGTGATTAAAAAAATTAATCGCAATTTTAAAAAATCATGATTAATCGCACTGTTAAACACTAGAATACCAATTGAAATTTATTAAATATTTTTGGAACTCTTTCTACATTTTCAAATATATTGATTTCAGTTACAACACAGAATACAAAGTGTACATTGCTCACTTTATATTACTTTTGATTACAAATATTTGCACTGTAAAAATGGCAAAAGTAGTATTTCAGTTCACCTCATACAAGTACTGTAATGCAATCTTTGTTATGAAAGTGCAGCTTACAAATGTAGATTTTTGTTGTTGTTTAACTGCACTCAAAAACAAAACAATGTAAAACTTTAGCACCTAGAAGTCCACTCAGTCCTACTTCTTGGTCAGCCAATCACTAAAAGAAACAAGTTTGTTTACATTTATGGGAGATAATGCTGCCTGCTTCTTATTTACAATGTCACCTGAAAGTGAGAACAGTCGTTCACATGGCACTGTTGTAGCCGGCATTGCAAGGTATTTACATGGCGGATATGCTAAATATTCATGTGCCTCTTTGTGCTTCGACCACCATTCCAGAGGACATGCTTCTGTGCTGATGATGCTTATTTAAAAATAAATAAATAAATTTGTGACTGAACTCCTTGGAGGAGAACCGTATGTCTCCTGGTCCATGGTTTTACCCGTATTCTGCCATATATTTTGTGTTATGGTGCTCTCAGATGACAGCCCAGCACATGTTGTTCATTTTAAGAACACTTTCACTGCAGATTTGGCAAAACACAAAGAAGGTTCCGATATCAGATTTCTAAAGATAGCTACAACACTCGACCCAAGGTTTAAGAATCTGAAGTGCCTTCCAAAATCTGAGGGACGAGATGTGGAGCATGCTTTCAGAAGTCTTAAAAGAGCAACACTGATGCAGAAACTACAGAACGCGAACCACCAAAAAAGAAAATCAACCTTCTGTTTGTGGCATCTGACTCAGGTGATGAAAATGAACATGCATCGGTCCACACTGCTTTGGATCATTATCAAGCAGAATCCATCATCAGAATGGATGAATGTCCTCTGGAATGGTGGTAGAAGCATGAAGGGACATATGAATCTTTAGTGCATTTGGCACGTAAATGTCTTGCGACGCCAGCTACAACAATGCCATGCAAACATCTGTTCTCACTTTCAGGTGACATTGTAAACAAGAAGCGGGCAGCATTATCTCCTGTAAATGTAAACAAACTTGTTTGTCTGAGCGATTGGCTGAACAAGTAGGACTGAATGGACTTGTAGGCCTTAAAGTTTTACATTGTTTTATTTTTGAAAGCAGTTATTTTTTGTATATAATTCTACCTTTGTAGGTTTAACGTTCATGATAAAGAGATTGCACTTCAGTATTTGTATTAGGTGAATTGAAAAGTACTATTTCTTTTTTTACAGTGCAAATATTTGTAATAAAAAATAAATATAAAGTGAGCACTGTACATTTTATATTCTGTATTGTAATTGAAATCAATGTAATTGAAAATGTAGAAAACATCCAAAAATATTTAAATAAATGGTATTCTATTATTGTTTAACAGCATGATTAATTGCGTGATTAATTTTTTTAATCGTTTGACAGCCCTAGTAGCTACTACACTGAAAATATACCTTCTCTTCGATTTATAATCCGGATCAAATTCTTAGCTAGCCAAAAGGCACTCTGGAATTTGTCCATTTTTGTTCAGGCAGTAGAAGCAATGTGCAAAGATCAGGCATGGTGGGGCTTCAGACTGATATTGTAATGGCACTGCCTACCTTTGTGTATTAATAGAGGACTTATTTCTCTAGGCCTACTGATCTGGCATCTTTTCCAAGCACTAAATACATTCTAAAAGCAATTTAAAGGAGAGCAAACCTTTTTTTTTTAAACTCTAATTGCAAAATAAGACAACATAAGCAAGCCAGGTCAGATTTGAGTTCTGACCTTAA